GTAGGTAGGAAAAGGGAGTTGAGAAGGTCAGTGAATATCAATATGATAGACATTTGGCAGGTGCTCAGTAAGCTCATGGCCTTGTTGATCCTCATATTTTTGGGAGAGCTGAGGATGGGTGAGCGATTGGTCAGGAGTTTTTGAGGACACAGCCTGTGGCACATAAATGGAGACCTCTCATCTGCGCAAAATCACAAATAGAAGAAAATTAGCTGGATGTGGGGCTGGTTGCGCAACCTTGTAGTCCTCAGCTACTTGGGAAGGCTCATGGTGGAGGAGATCCACCGCCTGAGATTGAGGCCTGAGTGAGCTCTAATCACGCCACTGCATTCTAGCCTGGGTGACAGGAGGGAGACCCTGTTCTTAAATGAAATGTAAAAAATATTACTAGACCTTTATTTCTTTTGTCACATCAACATTTGAATTCTTAGTTGTATTTTTTTAGCCAAAACTCCTAGGCTCAAGCAGTCTCACCTCAGCCTCCCAAAGTGCTGGAATTACAGGCGTGAACCACCCCACCTGGCTGAAATGTTTGCTTTCAAGATATACCTTTGAGAAGATAGGATGTAAAGATAACCATTTGAAACACTAGACAACTAAAAGTACTTAAGACTCAAAGTTTGGTAATAGGATTTTATTTAAGTTTATGTTGGTTGGGAAAAAATGAGCAAAACCATCTACATGCTTCACTACCAAGACTACTATAATAAAAACAAATATTTAGTAAAAACACTGTTAAGAAGAAAAAAACTGAAGCAGAATAAAGTTTTACAATAAAGACTTTAATTTATTTTAGAGGGACATGTTTAAAACCCATCCATTAGTAATTAGTCAACCATAGCTTTCCTGAAGATAGGCTTTATAACCATTACAGGCATATAAGACATGAACCAGGGGTAGGAGTCCATAAGTAAGACGGGAATGTGATGCTGCCTTCTAGTAGATCTATTTTTGATGACATTTTAAGGTGATTACCCCTCTGCTGTTAAATATAAGGAGGAAGCAAATGATTTAAAAATTGTATAAAACGATGATAGAATATGCTAAGGAACTAAAAGGTAGTCACCAATTTATAAATTATTCCTGAGCTCAAATCCCCATTTGTTGATAAGGCACTGTTTTGGGTAGTCATAAGCCATTCTATAGTTAAGCACTTATGAATCAGTGATTGCTTATCTCGTGAAATGAATGAGGGCTGCAAATACCTTGGCCTCCAGGAACAGAAAAACAGAATAAAAAGGATTGTTCCCTGACTCTTCAGAACTATTTAGGTGAGAGAATACACCCTGATGAATTGATATAAAATCAACCTATCTTAGGATTCAAAGGGCTATAATAAAGAAAGGTTGCTTAAAAATTGCTGAGTAGTATATGTTTTAAAATATTTGACCACCTGTACATAAGCTCACCCTGGATTCTTTGATAGTTGCACAAAAATTCACAAGACTTGGTCAGAAATAGCCTGTCAGACTTAAGCATACTGTTTTCAATTTTGTTGCACTCCATTTAAAAAACATTTTTAGAATATTGGTAAATTTATAAAATTGTAAAAATTATCTAAAGAAGAGCAATGGTACCTAAAACACGAATATAATAATTATTAACTATCTTTAGTCATAACATTTAATGAAATTCATGCCTCCTTCTACATCCTGGAAAAGGTAGTAAGGAAGGTGCTTTTTACCTTGTTGAAGACTATTGTGAAGACAATTGACAAATGTTGCTAATATAGTTGCTACATTCATCACTTGCCAGCACTGGGCAAGACCAAGAGTAAAAAGTTCATTCCAGTAAGCTTTCACCAGTGATATGCTGTTTTCTTGCCTATTAAAAACAGTAATAAAGGCACAAATCAGATATTATTAAACAAGTTTTATAAACCTTACAGCTAGTCCAAATATTTAAAAATAACATATTACTAAACTAAAATTACTCTAGAAAGATTTGATCAAGTCTGTGTTTTGTATAGCTGATAACAAAATGAGAAATGAGGAATGCTTAGACATTTAAATAGTAGCTCATCAATCAGCCAGTTTATAAGAACAATTGCAAGTAATATTTCAAACTAAAAGAGTTGGGGCTTTAACTTCACATTTCATAGAAATGGAATAAAGATTGTTCTTAAAAAAAAGCAAAAGCATATATTAAAAAAATTTTTGCTTTGGATAGAGGTAAATACCTTTTAAAAGAAAGGGCAATTCAAATTATTTTACTGTTTTGAGACAGAGTCTTGCTCTGTCGCCCAGGCTGGAGTGCAATGGCGTGATCTCCACTCACTGCAACCTCTGCCTCCTTGGGTTCAAGCGATTCTCCTCCCTCAGCCTCCCCAGTAGCTGGGATTACAGGTGTGCACCACCACATGCGGCTATTTTTTGTATTTTTAGTAGAGACAGGGTTTTGCCACATTGACCAGGCTGGTCTTGAACTCCTGACCTCAGGTGATCTGCCTGCCTTGGCCTCCCAAAGTGCTGGGATTACAGGCATGAGCCACTGCTCCCAGCCTCTAGAATTATTTTATAGTAGGCAAGCAACCAATTTTAGGAGAAAAATGGTTCACTGTATGTTTCAGATGAGATAATAGAATCCCTATAAATGAGATATCCAGGATTTTACTATGAATAACAAGAGATTAGAAAGGTCAAAAGTTCTTTCCTGAATTTCTAAGTAAGTTATCTCAGCAGCCTAAGAGAGTAGAAAAAGTATTAAACAGGAGTCAAAGCACCATGGTTTAAACCTACTTATCCATTTGAAATTAGGCAAATAAACTTTCCAGGTTTCAGGTTGTCTAATGATATAAAATGCAGAGACACTATACGTCCTATATCTTGCTCAGAGTTATTAAGAGGTGAAATGTAAGAATTAGCTGGGGCTGGGTGCGGTAGCTCACACCTGTAATCCCAGCACTTTGGGAGGCTGAGGCAGATGCATCTCTTGAGCCCAGGAGTTGCAGACCAGCCTGGGCAACATGGCGAAACCCTGTCTCTATAAAAAATACAAAAATTAGCTGGGTGTGGACGTGCACACCTGTAGTCCTAGCTACTCACACAGGCTGAGGTGGGAGGATCACCTAAGCCTGGGGAAGTCGAGGCTTTGGTGAGCTGTGATCACACCACTGCACTCTAGCTTGGGTGACAGAGTGAGACCCTATCTCAAAAAAAAAAAAAAAAAAAAGAGAGAATTAGCTGGGTGCTGTGGCACATGCCTGTAGTCCCAGCTACTCAGGAGGGTTGAGGTGGGAGGATTGCTTGAGGCCAGGAGTTTGAAGGGGTAGCACGCCATGATTGCATCTGTGAAGAGACACTGCACTCCAGTCTCTAACCTGGCACAGGAAGACTCTGTCTCAAAAACAAAAAAAAAATTTGAGAAAGTATATGCCAGGTACTAGAGAAATAGCAATTAAGAGATTAAGTTTGCCTTCATGAAAAAGAGGAGAAATAACAAATATATAATTTCAAATATTTTATATAAATAATATACATATATATGAATAATATACATTAATTTTAGGTAATAAAAATTCTGCATTACTATAAGTATGTATATTAGAAAATGGGAAGGTTCAGGTAAGGTGGTTAGAGAAGGCATTTCTGAGGTGGTGACATTTGAGTGGAGAAAGATGGTAGAGTTAAACAAAAAAAACCAAAAACCAGAAAGATCTAGGGGAATAGTATCCTAGGGAGAACAAGAGCAAATGTGCTACGGTGAGAACAAGCATACAATAAGTATTCAATAAAAACTGTTGAGTGAATTACTAAATACTATCCTATTGTCTTGGAAGGTCCCTTCCTAGTCTTGTTTTCCTGGCTAATACTTACTGATCCCTTAAAATACAGCTCAACGTTCACTTTCTAGAAGGAACATTATTCCTCTCTCAACATAGTTAATCATTCCCCCTTCAGTGTCATGCATACACGCATCCTCACTGAAGGCGGAGACGCCCTGTGCATTTCTAGATCTCAGCGACCAGTGCAGTACATGGTACACAGAATTCTGCAAATGATTTCTGATCTTAGGGAGTACAGAACAGGCAGAAGTGAGAACTTTGAAAAGACAGAGAAGAGCTGTGGGCATAGGCCTTTTACAATTAAACAATCTTTAAACCAAACCTACAGACTTTATTATAAATAAGATGATGAAGCTATAAGATTTCTTTCCTTAAATCTCTGGAGAGATTTAAGTTGGTAAGAACATTCTGATAGGAAACATGTCCAACCTAATGAATGGTACTTCTTTATTTTTCTCCTTAAAAAGCTTTAAAATTAGGATAATCAGTGTGTTTAACAGAAATCATTTGTTAAGAATCACAGCCTTCTTTATGACATTACATTTTATTAAATAATTGAACATACTTGAAAGAAATGCTAATACTGTCGACTTAGTCACAGCAAGTTTTTTTCTAAGAATTATTAATATGACATTTTAACTTCAGGCTGATCTCTTTTCCATTCAGTATCCGAGAAGGATCACTTGCCATGAGACACTGCCTATCATTTGCAAGTAAAGTTTAAATGCAAAGAAAACCAGTATTTTATAATCTTCATATAGAAAAGGGTTAAAAATATCGATCTTAAACAAAATTAAAGGAGATAAAAATAAAGGATAGTATTTTCATTAAAGATGGATAAAATCCAGAATTGAGGAAGAGGTGAGGAAATAAGCACTGATCCTCATACACTGCTGACGTGAGCATAAACTGGATCAACATCTTTTCAGAGAACAATTTGGAAGTATCCATCAAAAGTTAAAATGTTCACCTTCTCGACCCAGCAATTTCACCTCTAAGAAACTATTTTATAGAAATACAGTCATGCATAGCACATTTTAGTCAACAATGTACCACATATACAATAAAATACCATATTTTTATGGAAACTTCTCTATATTTAGATACACAAATATTTACTATTGTGTTACAACTGCATATGGTATTTGAGAACAGTAACACACTATGCAAGTTTGTCCTAGGTTTGTAGCCTAGGAGCACTAGGCTATAGCATATAGCCTAGATGTGTAGTAGGTTTGTGTAAGTACACTCCCCTTCAAAAAAAAAAAAAACAAAAAAGTAAACCACAATATAGTGTAGTAGTTAGAGAAAAATACCTGTACCTATTTGTAAAAGAAATTAACATATTTTAGTGTTTTGCAAGTGAATGCTTTTTTAAAACACTAGAAGTGGAGGTCTCACTATGTAGTCCAGGCTGACCTCGAACCCCTTGCCTCAAGCGATTCTCCCAACTCAGCTTCCCAAAGTACTGGGGATTACAGGCATGAACCATCATATCCAGCCTTTTTTTTTTTCTTCTAGATGCCTTTAGTGATAAACTTAACTACAGTTTCTACTCAGCTTTTTTG